GATTAAGAGTCATAGAAGCATAAGAAAACATCGAGTACACGAAACGATTACCATTTTGTCCCCCACAGATGTCAGAGTACAGAATGACTTTCTTTACTCCTTTTTCTTTTTGAATTTTCAAAAAGCTCAAAATACAACTACTTATTTCGTTTGGTCCTCTCTTCGCAATTTTCTCATGCCAAACATAACAGTAGCCTTCATGGCTTAACATATCATAAATTGTAAACTTGTATGTGGCGAGCTAACTCTTGTAATAGAAGTCGCTCACTGCAGATTGAGGTGTCATGAGGACTTTTTGTAGGTCAAAACAAGCGGCACAAACCGACTTATGTTTGATCGCCGTGTCCTTATCTGCATCTTTCAAGGCTCTAGCGGCTTTATTATTAGAAACGTGTTTTTCATGCCTCTCTTGTATTTTTTGTTTATCTGCTGGACTTGCTACTTGATAGGCCATACAGAGGCTGCACTGTTCTTCTTTTGGTTTAAAGAATGCTAAATTAAATTCGAAATTCGTAGTCGGTGCATTATTGCAAGTTTAAGGCCGTCTTCTAACTACATATTTGTTGACTTCTTTCTGGTGTAGTGGGAAGGCATCACAGGAAAAACTTTAACGTGCTGTCTAATGCCATTTAAGATACCTTCATCAATTTTGCTTGGTCTTGTAAAGTGATTATCTCTTCTTTTTCAAGTGAGCCTGTTTTTCGAATTTTACTTAGAGCAGTTGTCACCCACTGTTCTGATATCCCATGAGTATTAAGGAACATAGCCTCACAGACCGTTATTTCATTATTATTAACAGTAAGCAGATATTTTTTGGAGAAATTCCGTTTTGATATGCGATTGCTTCTTCTCACCTGTTTTTTGTCTACTGTCTTAACATACCTTGCTATGTAATCCCATTGTCCAATACTTTTCTATCTTCCTCACTTATCTTCTCACGACATTTATTTCTGCAGTTTTCTTTACAGGGATCTTTTAGCTGTTTGGTAGGAAGGTTTTTGTGTTCGACGCCTAAGTTTAATTCTCTCTTAGCTCGGATGTCGACCCACGCACGTATTTTTTACACGCTTTCTACCTCTCTTTTGTTTGGGAGCCATGTTACGCTTTCTACGAACCTGAGCTTGCTGAAGTTGGGTCTTGGCTTTAACAGATATAGGTGGCAACTTAGATGAGGCAGAATCAGATGTTTTCCCATGCATATAATCAGGATCAATGTCTGAATAATCTGAAGTGACTACTATATTTGAAGCTTTTTGTTACGCTAAAAGAATTTATCACCCGCGTAGTAAAAGAAATGAAAATATGAGCTACACTTACCTGAATTTAACGGCTCAGCAGCAACACTTAGCTTGCTTGCATTTTCCAGAATCATTATTGTTCTTGAATTCATTTTTTTCACTGTAAAATGACTTTTTTCTCGTAGCTACTACTTAAAACGTGTGCATTAATATTCACCATAACCTCAAATTATGCCGCGAAAACTATAGTAAGTTTGCACCGAAGACTAAAGTAACTCAAATTGATATATTACGTAAAAGAATAACTGGTTGCCTATACCTTTATGACTGAGATACCATATTCTTCCACCAAAGAGAGCCTGATTATACCTATCGATACGATATAGTAAGTCAAAACCCAGGATGTTTGAGTTACTATAGTCTTCGTTGCAGGGGTCAATTTATGATGTGACTTAAAGTTTTGTATTTGCAGCTTTGATATTTAATAGGCTATTCGAGAATTTTCGGCAATAGAAGACAAGACTCAAGATACGTTGTCACATAAGGAAAGAAGCCTCAGACGACAGCGAGAGCAACATTTTATTAACAGGGCTACAAGCGTTTTACCAAAAAAAATATATTGTGCCTTTTTGGCGGCAATTTAAATCTGTCAATTGCTTGTCAATCGCTTCACCAGCACAAAATAACAATGAATACCGTTGGCATCGCAAATTGGTACCTGTATATCAGTAGTGAAAGAGCGCCTTGATGAAGTCCAAAGTTAGATGAAAGAACACATTTAAAGGGCTTTACTGCCGTTGGTGGACCAACCATTGAATGAATTAAAGCGCCCTATCAAAATCGTTCTCCTACACTTCTCCACGCCGCGTGGACTTACGAAGAGTTAGGGACACAAATTGCGTAAGGGTCCATGAACTCTTACTTTTGGGTCATACGGCGATAACCCCGAGCAATATTTATAAATAACTTATGATATGGTGGTGCCTGACACTCTTGATCAAACAAACGGCAAGTACTTTGCTTTATTGTTTCATATACTGAGTGACAAAAAAGGTAAACACCTACGTATGTTCATTAGAATTCAAGAATTTCCCACATATCGATTTATCTTCCCATGAATAACAAGTGATAAAGTGGTCAGTTTTTCTGTTAAGTATTTGTAGTGGCTGCGTGTATTGTTTGGTGATAAAGAAGCATTCCGTTTTCGTGCATTTAATCATTTTACTAGTAAGGGACACTGAACATATATGCCAAAAATTATTAAAATTGAATAAACATACGTAGGTGTTTACCTTATTTTATTATTCAGTATATTTACTCTGCTGCTTCGTCACACATTATGTTTGTTGTTTCAAAGGTAGTTGTGTTTGAACAGGAAATCTTCACTTGGCCTCGACTGTACATCAAGTTATGGTTTTTGCAAATGCTTATATACTACAGAGTCATCTGGCGACGAAAGGAAACATTTTTACAATCCTTTATAGCCGCCTACCACCACCTGGTTGGCGTTCGAAGACTAGTGTGGTGAATAATTTTAAGTTTATTTGCAAAACAAGTAAGTACATGCAGTTTTTTCTTGTAACATACTAGTACTTAGGCATTTATAGTTTATAGCAAAACAGTTTTTTTATGCGTATTTAGCGTAATTTTCGTTATTCTTATGTTTGAAATACGGCGTATCCGTTTGGTCACGTTGCCCTTTTCGTAATGTGACCGTATTGATACAATCACCGTATGAACTACTCCTTAATACATATTTATGTTACAAAAGTTTTTTTTCAGAATTTTACTATAAGCTTTGCAGAACTTTTATGGCAAACGTCATATTGTAATTCCTCCTCACCCCAATAATTCTGATTTGTCGGATTCATCCAATGATGATGTGGAAGAAGCTAGAATCGTAAGTTATGAGAGCGACGAGGAACCTGCTAATTCCTTAGAAACTGCAGATGTGGAAATGGAGGAAACTGATTTAGACGGGGCATTAAATGAAGGTAGAGACGACGACCAGTCAGCAAGAAGGGAAGCACAGAAAGACATGTCAATACCTTCCTGGAACTGGACTAAGGATGATCTAGAGGAAAGAGAAGATTTTGTTGAGGCATATCAAATTTACTGCAATGAAGAAAATCCTAGCGCACCTCGGTATTTTTTGAAGTACTTCTCAATTGATGCTACTAGAAATATTGTAGACCAGACACGCCTTTATAGCACCCAGCAAAACGGAACCAGTATAAATACGACAACTAACGACATTACTGATTTTTTTCTCAATTAATGAAATCAAACTGTCACCCTGCTTATTGGGTCAATGTAACCAAATGGTGACATTTTCAAAAGTCACTTTCTCTTATGTCTTGTTTAGTTTTGATATTAAATGTTGGAATAACACAGTTTTTCTTTTACTATGTATGTTCAAATGGATAACGGGTTAAAATAGACGAACTTTTAAGCTTTTAGCCTCACTGAACTGTTTTAAGATTGTTTCATAACAAAATTCGGTAGATATTTCCGCTTGAGTTGATAGAAATGATAGGGCAGATAGTCTCTCTTGGCTCGTCGTGCTCTTCAAGTAAGTCTTAATCAGCTTCAGCTTTGAGAAGCTTTTTCCATCAGCATGATTTCTTATGACCATTTTTGCTTCGACATTTTCACAGCGCATTACGCGTTCTCTGCCGTTTTGTAGTTTCAGGTTTTTTAAAGTTGTCGTATGTTTGCATGGTTTAGGATTTGTAGTTTGAGTATTAGTGGATCTAAATGTTGTATTGAAAGATGAGCAATCGCAAAATAGAAAACTGAATGGTCACAGGATAGGCAAATCTTAGAAAAACTCATCGCTTCTGAAAAAAACAGCCACACAATTAAACATACAATACTAGAAAGAAATATCTTTACGATGTTTGCATCCCTAACAGAAGCAATTGACGGCTCGGGGATTCCCCGAGTGTCTCCCGCGATATAGTTTTTTTCTAATTGACGGCTCTGCAGTCCATTTCTTCTGAACCTATAATCATCCAATAGCAAAAAACAGAGTATCTTTATAATTTTCTTGTTACTGAGGCCGTCGGCGGTCGTTTGCGTCGCTGACGCATAACGCCGCCGCTGGCTACGCTAGTCAAACCGCACTGATAGCCGCTCTCGAGTAATAACAGTGATAATAACTAATACCTGTAACAACTTTCTCCAACATTTTGGGGTATAACAAACGAGTGTACCCAAAGGGTGTCCCGTTCAGGACTCACACCACGCCATGCTGCACAGTCATTCTTATATTTCACAGCCACCTGCGACCAATTGTTTGCCTGTCGTCGTAAGTTTGTCCTTAGTTGGCGCTAGCGGGCAAGCTGTGCCGCCCGCCGGAGGTGTGACACTTTTCCCTCACCGGATTTTTTTGCCTGGATTTCCTTGGTCGACGTATCATGGGTGAGTAGGAATTGGAGCAAATGATTTAGGTATGGAAAGCGTACGCGCGATGTAAGCTGCGAGTGGTAAATGTTCTGGGGGCCCTAAGCGGACAAGTAAATCTTTAACCCTCAAGTGGCGTTGTGGGGTCTGGTGGACCCCCAGAACTTTTTTGCTCCATGTAAAACTTGCAAATTCAGCATTCAAGCCTGGATGCGCCAACTACCTTTAAGTTAGTGCACTCATAAGCCACTCCGTTGCGCACGTCAACTTTGATTTAGTATTGCTCTGGACAGCGAGCGGTAAAGTTCATTTGAGGTCTGTGTGGCACCACGACGCTAATAGAATATAATTTTAAAAATGGCAGGTTCTTCCAAAAGCGCACGTTTTGGGGACTCTAAGCTTGAGGAAACTTTACGCCAGTGGTACGATGAACTTGAAAGTGAGTTTAGTGACTATGAGGACTACAAGGACAAATATTTTTCCCCACACAGTGACCATAACTCTGATTCTGAGATGGAAGATTAGGGGGACAATGCTGAAAAATAGGAATGTCATTCTAATGGTGAAGAAGAAGAGGAAGCAACGAAGAACGGAACGTTCTATTTTTTAAAAATCGGTACAAGTGGTCTACTGTTCCGGCCAACCCAAATTTAAATATCAGACCAAAAAAACACAATCTTCTGAAAGTTATTCCGGGACTGAAAGTACCTGCAAAATGTGGTGATGTCGCTGATCCGTTAGAAATATGGTGCTATCCTTTCCCAGAAGATATGGAAAATGTAATAATTCTACGGACAAATGAAAAGATATTGGTATTCCAAGATAAATTTAGTAATCCTAATCGAACGGAACTGAGAGAACTAACAAAGGAAGAATTTAGAGCATTTCTCTCTATATTGTATTACTCTGCAGTTTTCAAGTCAAATGATGAAGACGTTCAAGAAATGTTTGCAACAGGTGGGACGGGACGAGACATATTCAGATCCATTATGTCTTTGAAAGGAGTATATGTGTTGCTCGCATGTCTAAGGTTTGTTGACTGAACAGTTAGTGTAAATGAATATTTTCAGTTCTATCCAATTGCTTTTGTTTTAGGTTTGACAATGCAGATGATCGAGAAGCACGTAAAGCTTATGATCGAATTGTAGCAGCCTCTTGGATATTTGAGCGTTTTGTTAAAAATTGCCAAGACTGCTATTCGATAGGAGAAGGCTTGCTGCTCTAGTTTTAATTAAAGCTAAACAGCGAAATCGTCTTGCTAATAGCACTGGCAAAAACAGAACCTTGAATCTACCAATTCGTGCAGAAACTGCAATTTCAAGTGTCTCATTAGTACCTACTCGTATTTCATTCAAGTTTTTCGATAAAAAACACTTTTAAAGTTCCTTTTATAGAATTAAAATAACTGTCTTTGTACCTATATAATGTGCTTTTTTGTATCTATTGAAAAAGTTAAGGGGGGCATGAAAATATAATTTATAGTCCGGCGAGCCTCAACAAACAAAAAGGTTGGGAAACCCTGCTATACAGTATCTTAACATACACTATGAAGGGTCTTGTAATAACAAATCCATTTTTATCTATTTCAAAGTACCTAACGTATATGCACCTATAAAGAACTCACAAATGATGAGTATTCAATTATCGGTTGTATTAGTAGAGAACAGCATGGATATTACGTATCTTGAAAAGTGACATTTTGTAGTTTTTTGACATTTCGTAGGTTTTTTGAGATATAAAGGTTTTTCTTCAAGATGTTACTTTAGCACAAGCTGTTGGAGACTTGTTGTGAACTAGTTTTGTAGCTGTACGTATTGCTTAAATGTCAGCGAACAGCAATCAAAGCGAGCAAACGTGGAATGAACTATTTGCACACTAAAAACTACCTAGTCTGGTTAATCACATTACGTCTGTTTTTTTACGTTTTTAGGTTTTTTACATGATAGCCCTGCCGAAAACCCTTAGGTAACAGACTTAGGGCACAGCGGGTAGGGGCAAAGTGGATACTTATATCGACCCGTAACCTCAGTTTTGTTGTTAATGAATTTGAATTATTTTGATGCAGGGTAGTATGTAAATATGAAAGGAAGACGAATAAAGAGAACTATTGTTTATTTTTTGAAGACGGATAAATTGTAATTTCAAATGTTATTCTTGTCATCACTATCAGTACAACAGAGTTTTACCGGTCGTCAAGCCGGCTTTATAAACATTCGACAGAGGCAGACGAAAGCTAGAGCCCTAGACTGGATATTAAAAAAAAATAATCTTCCCCTGAAAATGCTAACAAAGCGAAACAGGTGTTGGGTGTTTAATAAATCGGTTTGACAAGTGATAAAACTATGTTGTAGTGACATTTCTTACAAGTAAGGATCCAACCACATTACACGTTGTCCTTGTTATATCAATTAATATTCCTGTAATAATAGCAGAAAGTTTAAGGTATCCACTTTGTCCGGGTCTCTCCTAAGTGTGTGTCCACAATGAGCTCCCAAACTGGTGCGATAGTGGTGGAGGTCATATGCGTTTTGATGATACGCGAATATAAATTTGAAAAGGTTCGCTCATGAAGTATTATGTTCAGCGCAAGTGAGACCCTCTGAGAAAGTCAGTTACGAAAATGTATAACAGACAAATTAAACGGATCAAATCGGTCGAACAGGTCCATGAATTAAGTTCATAGACATTCTTTCCCTTCTCTACCGGTAGCCCATCTAGCACTGTCGCCTCTTCCCGATAACTAACCCGGTCGGAAGCGATAGTCTGACAGTAATACCAGAACACTTACCAGGCGGAATGCCGCTGGGTTCAGAAACAGTTGCCTATCAAAAGCATTTCTGTCATTCAAATTTACGGGAAAATGTTTGGTGTGTGAAATATGTCTAATAGATGCGTAGAATTACCGAAATTGCAAGCGTATGGATATACTAACATCAAATACTATATACGTATACCCTCTACCACCCCTCACTCTCCAATTTTCTAGCTCTGATGTTTTTCCAAACATGATCAGGGTCCTACAAAGTCTAAGAAAAGCGAGGTTAGAGTGATTTTATTTTTTTTGCTTCCGGCATTTTCCTTCGCAGCTATTGGATAGTTTTCAGAAACTATGAAGCTTTTTCGTCCTTAGCATAGTAGTAACCTTGCATGTATATTTAATCCAACTTCAAGTAGTAAGTTCTTAGTTATAGAGGGGATATAGACTGACATACAGAAATGAGTGACATTGTATCTCAAGATGTGCATATCCATCTGTTATTGCAAAGATGATTCTAATTTGTAGAGAGCCGCGGGACTGTAAGCGCGTTCAGATATAATTAAGGTAATAAGGTAATCGACACCCGAGCCATACAAAGGCAATGTAGGATTGGCAGATTGGCACGTACCTGGGTGTTCCTGTCGCCTGGTCTGGAGGAGCTTCTCTCTCTTCACAGCTTCTTCTTAGGTTCACCACACTTGCCTTAGCGCATATAATGTACTCGGTTTAACTAGGATTCTTTGTCGAGGTTTTGAAGACGACAGTTGCCTTTTCCGATCTTTACGAGATTTTTAAGACGACCGTTGCCTTTGGCGATCTTTTACGAATTGACTTCACGAAATCGTCTTCCTCTTGTGCGTATGTTTAACTTATATTTATTTATTTATTTATTTATTTATTTATTTATTTATTTATTTATTTAATTACACCACCAACAGTTTATAAACCAATTACTGGTGGGCAATACAGTACATATATATAAAAATCACAAAATAAACTAATTGCATTGATTGCTTAGTAATTACCAATAAGAACCCATGAAAACCTACCACTGATCATAGCTCAATCAAACTGTGGTAGCTCTAAAAAAACTACTGCTTTACATACTTTCTTGATAATAGAAATGGATGTGTTGAAGATATCAAAATAATTCATATAGTCATTATAACATGAGCATATCGAATATAGCGGTGCGTGCAGCAGTAGATTCGTTCGTGGGGTAGGTAGGTAAAAGGCAAGGTTGGCCCTTGTTCGTACTCTAGGTGTTTTGAAATTTAGCATAGACAAAAATGATGGACAGTCATGTTGGTAATTTATAACTTTGAATAAAAAGACTAAAGATTGTATCTTCCTTCTATCATCAAGGCTGAGAAACCTATGCTGTTGAAGTAAGTTATTTTGTCAAATCCCTATGGGAGGATAAACACCATCAGTTTTGAGAGATAAATACTTCAAGAACTTCCTCTGAATTTTTTGCAATGAGTCACATGAGGTAACATAGCATGGGTTCCAGATTATTCTTCCGTATTCCAGCTTAGAAAGATCAAACGAATTGTACAGCACTGTAGGTGCTGTTGTACAGATAAACTCTCTTGAATTGCGTATAACGAATATTACTCCTAGGTCCCTGAACTCCTCTAACGTCTGAAGAGGAGTGTTGTTAATTTTATGACTATTGGTAATTGAATTTACTCTCCTAGTGAAAGTTAAAGATTTACATTTGCTCACGTTGATAGGAAGTTTATTAGCAGCACACCACTCAGACGCGCACGTGCCAAAGAATTTTGAATTTGTATGGCTTTTGAATTCAAATAATGAAGCATGTTTTTGAACTTGCAAGAACACCATCCAAAAACCATAATATCTCATTTGTGAAATTTTTCACGATAGAAGTAGAGAACCAACTGGGTTTAGAGTATTACACGAGTATATTGAGTACTGACTGACCCAGGCTGAATCGGGATCGTCTCCAAGCAACCGTCTACTCCCTTTGGCATTCACGTTTACAAGTCAGATATTCCCACAAAAGCAATAAAATCGCGTAGGAGTAGCGATTTGTCGATGTTCGGATTGGTAGCATCGCATAGCGAAGACATTCGTAGTACACAACAACGCCATATAGGAGTAGCATGCACTTTGCGGCCGGCAGAGCGGCGCATTCTATGAATCTTTAATCGCATAAATTCCGCTACTGCAACATTCTCGCCGGATTTATTGCTCGAGATCCGGACTTTTACGAGGATTACATCGTGAAAAATTGAAACTTTTAATGAGTTCGCAATCAAAGAAACGTCGGCGAGTTATATTGCGTTGCTTTTATTGAATCTCTAATCCATTCGCTGTTTTCCCTATACAAGCTAGCGGGTTTTTGAGACACGTAATTTTTATGTTATATACAGGATGGCACAAAACGAACGTTATGCTCCAAATTCTTCATCTTCCTTTTATTTAAATGATGACCAACATGAATTTATTTCGCTCACAGTTTGTCAAATATGAAAACAATATATCAACTTCTTTATTCAGAAATTTTGGTGTCCCTCAAGGATCTATTTTCAGTCCCCTTTTATTTGCTCTTTGTATATGTGATTTTCATGAAACCGCCAACTACTCAGTCGTTCATCATTAGATACGCCGATGATACCTAACTTTATAACGACTTCGATCCTGATCAATATATGCTGGGGCAACATCAAATCAATCAAGATCTCCAGTCTATTTTTGACATATCTAGTGCTCACAATCTAAAACTGAATGCTGGCAAATCTTGCTGCATCTTATGTGGGCCCATGGGCCCAAAAAGAATCGTGAAATAAATCAATATCGCATTAATATTATGTCTAATAATGAAGACATATCCTTCGTGAACGAATGCAAAAACCTTGGTATCTGGTTTGACTGCAAGCTACGCTTCACTAAACATGTTAACCAACTATGCAATGCGTCCTATAATGTGCTTCGTCAGTTATACCCGAGTCGAAATGTCATGTCAACATAGCTCAAGCTTAAGCTCTGCGAATCCCTAATCCTGCCAAAATGTGACTCTGTTTATGGACCTGCTCTCTTACAACGTAATGCCGAGCGGGTTCAGATGATACAGAACTCATGCATTAGATTTTCTTATGGAATCCGTAAACTTGATCATATTAGTAGCGCTTTTGACCAATCGGGATGGTTTAAGATGAACAAATTGAGGAAACTGCATTGAACATCTGCGGTAAATAAGACCCATCTCCTAAAGTGCCATATTATCCCTATTCAAAGACAAGCCTCCTCTGTCAGTACGATCGAAGATCCTCTAGGAATAAACGCATCTTACTCATCCCGTGGCATTGTTCACACGTAGTTTCTCGTACTGGGCACCCAAACTATATAACTGCTTGTCAAGTGAGTATAAAGAATATAACCTAAGCAATTTTAAAAAAAGGTTAAAGATGAGTTTAAAGCAATCGGATGGCTAGAATTTA